CCTCTATCACAGCCTCGTACAATTTCATTGTCGAGACAAATCAAGGATCAAATCAGTAAGGTAAATGGGTTTACTTCCAATCAGAATAAGATTCCAGAACCATTGTTCAACACAATTGCTGTCTGCTTCATACCACTGCACTCCAAATTCAAGACATTTTTCACAGATTTTGAGCAACAATAAGAATTTGAGCAAGTGTTTACCCTTTACACTTAGGACCAGTAGTTAGAGCACTTGCCACTGAATCAGCATCACCACCAGCAGCAAAGATGGTCAAAGCCATTCGAGTCCATGAGCTTGGTGGACCTGAGGTCTCTCTCTCTGTTTCCATACATATGCTTTTATGTTTGAATTGGCCGGCTATTGGGTTGTGCTTTTTATTTTTGTCAGATTATCAAAACTCACTTGTGTATAATTACTGGTTACTTGTCTTTATTTCTATCAGTGTTAAAAGTATTTGAGATTGCTGAATTCAATTCGCAGTTTGTGTATAGTGTATCAAGTCTCTTCATAAATAATCCTTCACATAAGTCGGCCAGTAGATCAGAAAACAATATATAGTTTTTGACACTGATTATTCAATAATCAGTATCCATTACTTTTTTTTTTGGGTAAGGCAGTATCAGTTTGTCTAGTTTTGCTTAAAGAAAATTTATCTTTGACCTCCCATATTTGTCAGCTCAATGCCATTATTCCTTTACTTTCCTCGTCATTTTACTTATTTTTGTCATGTGATGGTGTTAGGTCTTGAAATGGGAAGATGTAGAAGTAGGAGAGCCAATGGAGGGAGAGGTTCGTGTGAAGAACAAGGCCATTGGGCTTAATTTCGTTGATGTATACTACCGCAAAGGCATTTATAAGGCTGCTACGGTCCCCTACACCCCAGGTTTTGCTGCATTTCTAAGATTATTATTATTATTATTTTGAATAGAAACATTTGTATTGATAATCAAGAGGAAAAGCTATCCTCGATTATACAACAAAGAGAGAATCTGCCCATTATAAGCAGAAAGCAAGAAAGATTCATCTAAAACTACTCCAACCAAAGATAGGTTAGAAGCTAAAGCACAACTTAAGTAAACTTATCTTAAGACAGCACCTTTACCATATAAGATTATGAAG